ATATAATGAATAAAAAATTCGAACAAATTTAAGACCTAACATAAAAAATTATGATTACTTTCAGATAATAAAACTATTGCAGCTAGATAAAGTCATTATTTTCTTTTCTAATAACGTTTAATTTGCATAACAAATACTTAATGTAGTCAATTTTTTTTAATAGGTCATTGGTGTCTTAAAACTGGCCAGACCATAAATACAATAAATAAAAAGTAATAAATAAAAAAGATAAAAATATTACTGTAAAGAACATTAAATTCCAATGGTAAATTTAAAACAATAGACCATAATATTCGAACAAAAGGTTTGCCCGCCCATTAGAGAACATTGGATTAATTCCAAAATCGATAAATTAACAAACATAAAATAGTATGCTTTGGTTATTCAAATAATACACTGACAAGCATGTTTACAGTTGATTTACCATCATGTTGGTCACTAATTGGAACTCAAAAAAAAAGAACAATTGTAACAGGAAAATTCGCCCACATAAGTCCTATAATTCTGATTTTTGAATTCCACAACGTCATTTTGTATAGCATTGCGCTGTTATTATTACTGCAATATGAAAAACACCACCTTATCTCTACAATGTCACATGATTTATTTTTAATTATCTTTTGAGATTGCATCATCACTTCCACCACTCATAGTTAATTACTGCAGTAATTAATTGTACCCTAGAGCTGTATCAGAAGTCTCTGGCCAACATATTAATTTTTGGCTCGAAAATCTAATGAAAGATCGTGCTAACCAACAAGAGCAATTATATAGGTGTGTAGTCGTTATCACAGAATTCCGGTACGATGGATTACATTACGAAAATTCTAAGTGACAATATAAATAGAAAAAAATGATCTCTATATCAATTTAAAGCATTAAATAATTAAAGAAATTGTTTTATAAATTAATAATTTTTATTAGAAAACATGATAATTTTTTTCATTTATTTGAAAAAAGAAAAACTAAATGAATATTAAATATTAAATTAATTACACTACAAAATTTATATTTTTGAAAAACGTAAACAAAATTTTCATACGGGATAATTTTATTAAATTAATTTTTTATAAAGGTAAACTTAGCAATATACAGAGTGATTGTTTACCGTTAACCACTAACATTTTCCTAAAATAATAATATTAAAAAAAAAAAAATGTTTGATTTTGTTTTGAATTATTTTATTTTTCAATTTTTAAATTGTAAAATACTATTCATTTCCATCCTTTATAAAGGTATCAAAATATTTTTTTAATGGCATCATACATATTTAAATAGGTTATATATTATTCAAGTAAGAAAATTACTGGTCGATAATTACTTTTGAACCAATAATTCAGAAGTTTTGAACATTTTTATACCCATGTGGGAGTAGTGCGGAAGACTGATGCATTATGATAAAAATAACACAACCCACACCTCGCCACCAGCCTACATTTAATAATGTTTATAATTTCCAAAATACAGGTTCAAAAGTCGTTATCAGTAACTTTCTAAATTAGATAATTTTCTATTTTATGAACTAGTTAAATATGTACGTTGGCACGTAAAAGTTGGTATTCTTATAAGGGACAAAAGAATGACATAAAAAGTATCTAACGACTTTAAGATTGAGAAATAAACAATTCTAAAGACCATTAAATATTTTTTTTCAAAATTATTTTTATTTTATGAGAAATTTAAAGAATAAATTAATCACTCTGTATATATATATATTTAAATATTGCTTAGTTAACCTTTATAAAATTTTCTAACACATTACACATGGTTTTTCATTCGAATAACAGATTATAATAACCGATAAAATATCATTATGAATGCCGATCGAATCTTTAGAATTATAGATAGTTAATTCCTTAATTAATGTTAGTTTAATTAATAAATTTGAAAATTACTACCAGTACTCATTTTTTTCACGTGTAAATATCATATTAATTCATTTATTTTATTTGAGCAAGCTTTACGTAGTAGAACTTGCTTATATATACATTGTTCTTAATTAATCATTAAAAAACAATTACTTATTGGAAAAAGTCAGGAAACAATGGTTTTTGAGTAGTATAAGATATACGTGACCGAATCAGAAAAGGGGATTCAATAATATAGCGTCGTCAGTTTGAGAACGCTCGACTGGAAGCCAATTACTGCTGCTTGGTTCAGTAAAAGAGATTCAAACTTAAAAGAGATTAAAGAACTAATCCTCTCCAGTTTTAATTTTAACATATAGACGTGGGATCATGTCTACGAGTTAGGGATAATACAATCAGCGGCGATGACTAGGGTCTCACATAAAAGTTATTGGTTCATTGTTTTACAAAAACTAAAATAGCGTTTCCATTGATGACCGTAATGAAGTTATCACTGAATCCGTTTTTAATTTTTGAAAGCTTCCGTAAGTACATGTCATTAGTTAATGTAACACATCTTTTCTGAGCTTTAAATAAACGGTTCGGATTGAAAGTTTTTCTGAGAAACTAATTTTAAAATTGAATTAAGAACGTTAATTAAATTGTTCTTAATGAGATTGATTTAGAATATTTCTACTCATTATATTAATAGAAATATATGTATGTATCATTGACAATTATGTTAACAATTGAAAATGAGAAGGTATTCCAGTATTATAGTATATAAACCTCTACAAATTATACGCATTGTAGTAATACGAATATATAACTATTAAATAACAAGATGTTTTATTTTAGAATTATAAACAACTCAATGCCTCATTTTGGAGTATCCAGTTAAATAGAAATAACGTAATTTTAACTATTTAACAAGTTAAAATCACATATTTTCTAACTTAATCAATAATAATACTAGAAATATAATAGTAATTGGACTCGAAGTTGGGCGGTGATTATGGAATAATCTAACAAAAAGTGTGTAAAAGTTAATAATGGATGCAGCTCATACACATTCTTACGCACCGCAGGGGGAGGTTTATAATATAATTTTAGTATATATATATATATGTATTATTGTAATACCATTGAGTATAGAGTACTATTTAATGGTAACATATTCTATCAAACCAAACCCAAACGAACATACTATAACTATAACATATATTATGATGCACTATTGATGATTGACCTAAAATGTTCTTTATATGATATTGTACAACAAGGCAATGCAGAACACATGTGGATAATAGAAAATCAAAAAAAATGTCTGAGAAAGCACTTAAATTCAAATTACTCAATGTTATAAGAATAAGTATGAGTTATTTAAAATAATATTAGATTAAAACATTTAAACTGGAGGTATGAGTGAAATTAAGCCACACATATCGATTGGATTTGAATTAGTATTAGGTATATTACCGTGGCATTGTTATCAACTGCTATGTAATCTGTGACCCTTCGCCCAAATTGACTAAACGTCAAAAAGGATGAATTTGAATTAAATTAATTCATAGATGTGTGAATATAATTTATATCATGGTAAACTAATTACAAATATGAGTATCTAAATGTTTTCTGTATTGTACCTAAAATAAGCATGCGCTTAAAATATAATGTGCCAGAATATTTTTTTAAAAATACAATAAAATGTTTAAATCTTCTAAAATATAGTACTCATTGTCTAAAATATAATAGTCATAATAATTTATTTTTAATGTGACATTGTAAGTTATCATAAAATTTTAGTATGCATCATTTTTTTGTTCAACAAAACAAAATATTGAATTAATCATAAGTCACAAATAATATTTGTTAATAAGTAAAATTAATTATAGAACTAGAAAAAACTTGGAGCTATTTTAATATTGTTTCATTAGAAAAATGTGAGAAATTAAAACATTATTGAATGAAATGAAACTTCAAGACAAAATTAATGCAGCATGACATACATTTATTTGATTTAACTAGCTATAGCTTGTTTTACTACACACAATTTTTGTACAAAAAGAGACACGGGTATGTTCAATATACTTTGATACACTTACTACAAGAGTAGTTAAGTCTATCGGCAAAATAACAATTTAATTAAAACGTGCTGCCGTGGTAATGAGTTACAAAGCGAAAGAATTAATTGATTGCTCGTAAAACGTGACACCATCACCAATACAAGGATTATAAATGTTTTCATTGATAAAGGATTTTCCAAAATAACAAAATTGTTTGTGACTAAGTTAAAGAATGCGAAAGGTAAATTTCATACATCCAGAGTGAATTTTTATCTCTATTATTGACTTAAATAAATACAAACTATGTGTGATAAAAATAACTTAGAAAAAATAATCGATATGTTTTATTTAAATTTATAACATATACAACGTATCAAAATTAATTATATTAATACAGAATAAATAAAACAAAATGATATTAATTCACACTAAAATAAAAGCTGCTTGTAAAATTAAGAATAATTAAAAAAAATAAAGTGTTTAAACTTATTAAATCTACACGTCTAAACATTATAAGCTCAAAAAGATAATAATAGAAAAGCATCGTATATTAATCCGAAAAGATTTACATTAAATTCACTTAAGTTTTTTTTTTTGGTCCTTGTGATTTAATTCTCTTTAAAGAAATCTTCCCTATTCTTAAAACAAATTTACATAAAATTAGAAGGGGAATATGGATGAGATAATAACAGGGTTTCATTTAGAATTTTAATTAAATAATAATCTTGCCTTGAAAATCGTCACATATAAACGATGGTCCTTATCTTATATTTGTCAACTTGAGTTGGAGAGACAAATTTTGTCAACGCTATTCTGTATGCTATTTTTTGTCATCTTCCATAAGATATTAACAAAGATAAGATGATTTCTTGAAGATAACACAAGAAATATATGCAAATAAGTTATTTTAGATTACATATAAGAATTTGAGCTTAAAATAGTTTGCAAAACGCATTGCAATATGTAAGTGATTGACTCAACATATTCATTATAACAAGCTAGTAAAGTATTACATAAATATTAAAACACGAATATTTATTTGATTCTTTAATTATTTAATTTAAATATACATAAAAATTAAACTTACATTTTTCTGTCAATTTTATCAAAATAATTTTTTGAAACTTCTGAAAAAAAAAATTATGAATAAAGTAATTAGTATTAATTAAACAAAATAAATATTTATTAATAAATAACATACAAAAGAAAATAAATTTTTAAATCAAGAATTGTTTAACATAACTTAAGTAATTATTGAACAATTTTTAATTTTTCAGTTAACTGTCAAATGCGCCTTAACTCGAAGCGGTGGAAACACAAATTATTTGTTCAGAAAAATTAAGTGATGAAATCTGTAAAATATTTAACTGCCCTCAAGTAAATTAAGTTGATTAATTTAGTGGTACTAAATGGTAATTCAATAGAAATTAAAAAATACCGCATACTGTGATAGTTTATTGATGTTAAAATTTGCTATCATAACTAACAACTCTATAAATATTAAATAAAAAGCTTAGTGCTTTTTCGCTTTAAAATTTTAATATTAGCACTTTAAAAGTTTTTGTATGGATAAAAAAATAAGGACTAAAATGTAAATAACTTGATAATTACACTCTCGGACCAAGTGTCTCGGCTTTCGAATTATAAGTATTACTATTAGACCACTTTTTAAACTTTTTTTATTTACAATTCTCGAAGTGATTAAATGTTTCAAGTATTTTTTTTTTTTTCAAGATAATATTTAATGCGAAATTCAACTATTTAGCAAAGACTACTATTTAATATCAGGAAATCTTTAATATTGTGTTTGATTTAATAACAATTTATTTTACATTATTTAAATACTACCAAATTAACCATTACTGTTATATATTGTATATATAACACACAATATAATCTAAAAAGTTATTATATTTTCCTTTTTTGTTTCCGTACAATATTACTGACTCATTTTATTTATACCTTGTTTACATTAAATATAAATTACTATACACCTATCTCAGTTAGAACATTATGGCTCACTGCTTGTTTTTATGACGAAATTCACCAAAGTCACGTCGCAAAATGGCACGTGTCTACACAAGAAAATGCACTTAGCTGCGGTAAGTTATGATTTGATTTTTAGTATATAAATAAGTCTAGTTTAAATATAAGAAATTTGATCTTGGACTTAGAGTTAATATACTTTCTCGAGTTACATTTAGTTATAGGAACTTTTTTTATACTCAATAAAATTAAACCGTTCAGTTTTATAAACTGTTTTCATACTTTTTATTTTTAAAAGTATAATAGTATTAAAGTCTATGTGTTAATGTTTCCCTCAAATAATCTTACTAAGAACGTCAGTAATCAGTAACAGCGAGTTCCATCTATATTAATAAAGTTCTTTTCACACTTTTTATTATTCACCGATTTGATCTAAAAATAATAATAGGATTGAAATTCTAAAACAAAATAAAAACTTTGAAGTAATATTCAAAAAAAAATTATTATCTATATATCACCTAAGACAATTACAGTATTTTAAAAATTGTAAAAGTGACAATTATTTGTATATAAGTATAAAAATGTATACTTGGAGTTAATCTTGTATTATTGTTTTTTATTCTAATTAATTACAATAAAATATGTATATTTGATTATTTTTAAGAAAAATCTAATGCAATCTTAAAATTGGTGAATGGAAATTTCTGTACCTCAGAGCTAGTCCGACGAAAGTCACATCAAGTCCGTTACGTCATTATTCATAATGTAATATTCATAAGATGATAAATAAAAACAGAGGCTAATTAGAAGAATGAAATATTCCATCGGAACAAAAATTATTCATTACATTGTGAAAAAATAATTTTTCGTTTAGTATAGAAGAGAAATTGATATCATTATTTTTTGTATTTGAAAATAAGAACTTTAACATGTTATTTTATTATTAGCCGATTTTTACCAGATATCGATAAATAAAAAAACGATAATCGGTTTAAAGCGGTTAACATTTATTTTCTTTTTTTACGGACTTGCGTTAGTCTAGTTCTGAGGTACAGATTTTCAAATAACTAATAATGATTGAAATATATATATATATTCTACCTTTTCATACACTTTTTAACTTCAAAGGTCATTATTTTGAATTGGAAGTAAAACATTTTGCCTGTTACAAATAATCAGTATTCAATATACAGGTTTAAATATTATCAAATTATATGGTACAAAATCTAACGGGCAAATATCCCAGTAATAAATTTAATAAACTTTTGAGGCTGAAAATTAGCAATGAACTACTTCCATAGTTAAATTTAAACACGATATTGATGTAATGTAGTTTACACAGTCTAAAAAACTAATAGCGCTACACATTATTAATCTTAAAAAAACTACGCCTAAAATAAAAAAATTTTAGTCAAAATAAAAGAATGTTTTAGTAGGAATTACACCAATGTCGAACAAAGCCAGCGTTTATGTATTTTAGGAGAAACGTGCATACTTTTTTTAAAAATTTTCGTCATGCACACACTTTACTAGTAACGAAACTCTAAATGGCTTTTGTCGAACGACATCGCCGTCATTTTTTATAACCACTATCGTTAGCGATCCGCGTAGGTTGGTATATACATAACAAAATCAAATAGATAATACTTCAGCAAAAACACTTCAATTTTCTGTTATTGGAAATAAATATATTGAGATAAAAGCATGAAATGCATACAGATAATATTTATGAAATTGTCAAAATATTGCAAAACAAAATTCATTTCTTTTAATGTTGCATATATTTACACATACATTTTATACGTATTCTCAATCTTATTTGTAAGGTTCTTTGTATTATGTTCTACATTTCGAATAAAACAAAGAGGTGTACATTTCTTATAACAAAAGATTTTTATTGCTAGAACTTTCCAAGATATCGTTCGGTAATTCACAAGGGTGAGAGCATTGGTACATTACACTACCTCTTTAGATTTCCAATACTATTAAGTGTTATATATAAAACCAAAATGCTAATGTGATATTTTGAGTACTTGATAGTATCATAGTAATTTAAACCACGTTCACGAGACGTCGCTTTTGTTTTAAGTTTCTCTATAAATTTATGATTACAGGTGCTGCTCTAACGTTCTGACGACACGTGTAAAAAAAGTCAGCACGCGACTCCTCTAAAATAGAAAAATGAGTTATAGTTTATCATATATGGATTAAATAGCTTAAAAAAATACTTTCAATCAAAAATCATGGTACTACTCGACAATGAAGTAATTTAAAATTCTATTTTGACGTTTAACACGCAAAGGAATTCTAATGTTCTTTCATTACGTAATAATAAGAGCGTATTTAATTAGTTGCAATTATCTTATATATATAATTATTACTTTATAAGACCCAGTAATTAATAATGATAGATTAGGTGATGACGTCAACAACGTATGACTCGCCATTTTAGCAAAAAGGCGTGAATTTCCTATTGCGGCCGGAAAATACAAAAGGAGCAAAGGTGACATCTATTGATGGCGGTAAAAGTTCGAATCTGATAAGAAGTGTCTAACACTGTATAGCTGCTACGGAAAAACGTATTGCAAGGCTACTGCTTTGTAGACTTGAGAGCGGAAGTAAAAAAGGTGCTTAATTTCTGGCTCGCATTTGAAAATACCGCCTTAAGGGAAATAATTTATAAGGACAAGGTGAAAAAAATGCAAAACGATCGTCGAGCCACACCTCAAATGCAGTTTAATAGCTTTATACAAGTGATTTTTTTATACGGTTTTTCACGCGGAGTCATGAAAAAAGTAACCCTTTAAGGTTACACCCAGAGAAAAACCTCGATCTATATAATAAATTCATTGTTCAATTTGATAAATATATCATTATATATATATATATATATATATTATATATATCATTACTAATGAATCTATGATATATTTATCAATATGATAATTTTTTTTCTTGTCTTGAACAATAATTATTCATAAGAATAATTATTTTGTTCGTATTAATAAAACATTATCATAAACCCTTGATAAAATCTATCAAAATTGATTGAGGTTTTTCTTTGGGTGTACTTTTATTTTAAAATATATAATATATATGAATGTACTTTTAATAGAGCGGAGGACATTTAAAGTATTGTGCACCCATTCTGTTAATTTAAAGTAGATGTTAACATACATCAATATCAATTTAAAAACAAAATTTCTATACATAACAATACATTTATTATATAAATAATCAGATTCAACTTCAAATCTTTCAAACATTTTTTTTAATTCCGTTGAAGTTAATATATATATATATATTTTTATATTCATAAATTCCATTTAAACCTAAAACTACACATTTGTGCGTACATGGAGCTTCTTCGCGATTATTAAATGAATTTACTATTTTAATTTTGGTATCTTCAGACAAATCATCATCAAAAAATGCCGACGCTGCTGTTTCGGATACTAAATATCTAAAATGTCCGGACAGGTCTTTTAAAACTACTTTAGAAATATCTACTTCTATTGTTTCATCTTCAATCATACTTTTTATAAATTGTAAATCTAATTTGAAGCTAATGAAGCATTAGGTGAACAAAACCGTTGTAATATATACACTTATTTAAAAAATTACACAACAAACAAATATCATTAAAAAAAATGTTAAATAGAAAATATATAGAAAATTTAATTTAAAACAACTTTTGTTTGACACATTTTTTTGCTACAGTGAACGGTTTATAAAATAAATCAAGTTAATAGTTTCAATGGCAAATATAGAAAATTTGCATTTTTTGTTAGGCTAAATAACAATTTTTCGAAAATTTTTGTAGATATCTTTTTTATAGAAAAATATTATATCTACAAAAAAGTTTCTATGAACATTTTCATAAAAAGTGATGTTTTTGAGATAGACAAAAAAAACTAAAATGATCCCCTAAGGGTATCATCATTTTTAACCCTCTTGAAGCACGCCTTAGAGTTTGACAATCATCGACAATTTTTTCACAATTACTTTTATTTGGGTATTCGGACAATTCTAGGGGGTGGCACTATGCAATTTTAAAAGTTTATAATTAACGGTCACCCTAATAAATATATATAAATACTTTGATAAAACGCTTACAATTTTCCTTAAGGTATAATCAAAT